CTGCACCATGTCTGTCACTGCCCCCTGCACCATGTCTGTCACTGTCCCCTCCACCATGTCTGTCACTGCCCCCTCCACCATGTCTGCCACTGTCCCCTCCACCATGTCTGTCACTGTCCCTCCACCATTACTGTCATTGTCTTTTGCCTATGCTGAGTTCCACATGCAGCTCAAAAGTGTGTAAATATCATCTTAAGAATTTTTCCCTCTGAAAGCTCTTGTTTCAGGAAAGAAGACAATTTCCCCTTGTGTTTTTATTGATTGGAATTTAAGAGTAAATTAAATAATTTTATTTTGACATTAATTCGAGTACCCTAGCACCCTGTCTTTGATAACCAGGAAGAGCAAATAAAGGAATTAATAATAAAAGACAGACAGATGATGGAAGGAATTTTTTTTCAATTTCAAAACTAGCCTCAAAGCTAAACATTGGCATAGCCATTAGTTTGACAAAAACTTCCTTTAAATGTGTTTCCTTTTCAGCAGGCATATGTGAAAAGTGACCTCTTACCATCTACATATCTACCCAGAAGTCACGTGACAGGCTTTTGCGTCACGCTGTCAATTATGATAACAGTCACAATAAGAATGGCCTGAGTGTTGATAGCTTGCTTCCTGGCTCTACAGAGAAGCTTGCTGATAGTCTACTTGTGTCCTTTTTCAATTGCTTGCTTCTAATGATTGGCTTTTCAATAGTTTTTATGTTTCAAGTTTTGGCTTTGTCATTTGCCAGGACAAATATATCTAAGAGGATTTCACTTCATATCTTAGTTAAAAAAAAACTCCTCCAGAGGCAATTTCTTTAAGAGCTAAAAGTACTTTCAAATTCTACCCAGAAAAGTGTTGAAAATATTTCAGCATAACCAGTCGATAATTGAACTTGAAATAACTGTGTTGTACAGTCACACAGGAGCTGTAACTGCGGAAGTTCAAGAGCCACTAAGTCCCACGCAGGGACAAGGCACTCAGCCAAGGGAGCTCGTCACAGAGAGCACCTGGTCAGGACATGGCTCTGAGACATCAAGTGAGAACAAACCTTACTTCTTACAAATAGGAGCTTGCTTGACTTTCTGCCTCATTTAAGGAAGGCAAAGCAACTTGCTCTTCATCCTACCTACCATCTCCAGTCTGTATCCAGGTCAGGGTGGAATTCAATGGCTGCTTGGAATGGGAGAGTCTCTTATGGCTGGCTACACAGGAGGTTTCTTAGTTATAAACTTATAGCTCCAATTTACAATACATTTTGTGATATTGATGTATATTACTAAAGGTTTCTGCTGTGAAAGCAATGGTTCACCAAACTGTAATTGATGATAAATAAGCTACATTATTTTTAATTACTTCCTATGAGAGCAAGTAAGTCCTCAAAATGGTAAACTTTTGAACCTTAGCATATAAAGAACTGGTGTTAATTTAACGGAGTTTTCTTTTAATACCCATTTACATTAACATTGCTAGACTGAATTATAAAATAGTTTCTATTCTTTCTTAGTAAAAGCTACCATTCTCCCAGACAGCTCTTTCTTTCAAGTAGATAAAGTTTGGGAGACGGGGGCTGCTTCCGTGTTGACTGAAAGGAAGGTGGACAGGGCGCATGCAAGGTAGGAAGCAGGGAAAGGATTTCACTGCTCAGGACTTCTTCAGAAGGAAGTCAGAGAAGATGTCCTCAGCATTCTGAAAGTGGTCCAGATGAGGACAAAGCATTGGGCAGGAGAGAGCAGAGCCCCAGCTGCTAGAGCGGGATCCCAGAATTCTTCAAGCCAATGCACCATTTTCCGACAGAAGGGTAACAACAGAATGAAGCGCCTGTCCAAGTTGTGGTGTGAAGATTGCTCCTATGCCAATGAGTCCTCAGACAGACCAGTGCCAGGCTTTGAACTATGCCCAAAACTATGACAGGAGATATAAAGGCAGGTCCTGATCACGTCTCTGAACTGAGTATTATGCTTCACAGGGAGGACTAGCTTTATGACAAGTCAGCAACTACTCTACATGAACATCTCTGAAATATTTGCCATCATTAAGTGACTTTAGTTTTTAAGCTTAAATGCAATTATCACATTTATGTTTAGGTGAAATTCCAACATCAGAACAAATACAACTACGAATATTTCCAGACGGGAGGAAACTGGCATTAGTCAGGAGTGATCGCTATAAAATAGGGGCTCACAACGTGTGACCGCTAATAACTGTGTGGAACAAGCCACTAAGCATCAAAGCACGCACTTGCCTGTTCAAATCCGCCAGTCTGGATGTCCTTAATATTTAACATTTCCATGTGAGAATGTTAGTGTGAGGAACGGCTGTGGTGAAAGTCTTTCTGTGATGTCATTTCGTGGGGCGGTTATTAGAAGGCAGTCAAAAATATCCCAATAATCTTAAATTTATTGTTAACTTGAATTTATGGAAGCTATATTAAAATTCTTTTCTAAGGGAGAAATAGCATGCAACAATGCACATCAATATTTTTCATAAGCTGAAAGGATAAATCTTTCTAAAGCAGCCCACATGAACTGAAGAATGTACCTGATGACAATATTTATTTTGAAGGGGTCATGTCTAGGAAAGGTTATGGGGAATGTTTAAAAAGCTCCTCCAGACTGAAGCCACTGCCTTTCCAAGTCTGAATTTCTCTTAGCTAATATAAAATGATTGATCACTTTTATTTCATGTACCCCTCGATTTTCCTCTGCATTCATCACTGAGTGCTTTAAACCAAATGCATTTAGGAGCTGCCCTTAGAAGAGCGGTCTCTTTTAAATCTTCGTAAAGTAATGAGAGAACACAGTAAATCAATCCCATTTCTGCTGGAGGAAGAATAACCTTTCCTGAAGTCATTTAAACTATTTCGCTCCCTCCATGACTGTATAGTTGAATATGCAGCTTTGTCTCTGCTGCTCTTAATATGAAAGGTAAAGAAATAGATTTTAACTGGTGCTTCAGTTAAGAGATACGCGCACATCATATGATATACATTTATGGTGTTTTCTTCATGCCTCAACATCATAGTTCATTATGAATTTGGCAAACTGAGTTTCTTCAAGTGAAAATCTTATTACGTAAGCGATAAATTGTCTATCTGCTCTGTATTTAAAATGTTTAACTGTGGAGTATATGGCTTTTTGCTTCCAAGGATTAATACATGCCATATATTCATAAAGAGCAACCATGTTTGAACTCAGAAAATATGTTCACATTGTAAATGGTCTTTACTCAAAACTGCCCACTTAAAAAACAAATGTCAGACTTTACAAGAAAGTGTCATAAACATTCCGCAGAGTAAAAGCTGCCCAGATTTCTGCCCACAGTTGAGGTTCACATTTTCCTTGTGCTGAGCTTTCTTGATGCATCTTTAGATAATGTGAAGAGAGAGGGTAAGTTTGGTATGAATGCACTTTGTGATTACAGGAGACCCTGACAGTAATCTTAATTGATACAAACTAAAGCTGCCCTGGGCTAGGACAAAGAGGACAATTGTTTCTCAATGGAAGGGACTGGTTATAATATTCTAATGTGTTCGGGGTAAAGGTTAAATAATGGAGGCATGTTTTTTGAATTAAAAATTAACTGGAAATTAGAGAGGTGTCATAAAGAATAATGGCAAGTCCTATGACAAAAATATTTCTGAAAAAATGTACAATTTTTTTTTAAAAAAACAAGTTTCCAAAACCTATAAATCCTGCATATGTTTTAAAAACACAAAGAGCACATACATTTGTTAAGTAGAACCATAGCAGTGGTAACACATTCATATTATAGTAATTTTCGAGGTGAAAAAAAGCAGCATTCCAGAGAATTATTCCACTAATTATTATTTGGTATTTCCCTAACTATACACAGATGTCTTCAGTCAGTTCTCTTGTGTTCTGCGTTGTTATTTTAACCTTGCAAAATGTCAAGTATCTTGAATGAGCTATCATCTTTATGGTTTGCTCTGAACGCCGCATGTGGTGACCTTTACTGCACACAGACTATCACCTTGGCCTGCGACAGGGAAGGCCTGGGAAACGGAGCGGCCACTCTAGAACTGAGGATGCGGGCACAAGTAACTTCACACGCCTAATGCATATATAAACCTCATCTAAACACAGAGACAACTTGGTGTTTACTCCCAGCTCTGTCTTCTATACTGGGGCCTACTTTTGTTATGTGACGTTTTACATCCTGTGCACCTCGAACTGCTCTGGAGCCAAACTGAAGAACAGCAAACACATGCCTCGTAAAATACACTTCAAGGCTGCAGTGCGTAGACGTATCCCTGTGACCCTATAACTAGAATCATGGGATTTCTCTGTTGGGGCGGTGCATGCTTTCGACTGTGGCTAATTTGTTCATAAGCCACCATTAATCCTGGCTGTAGTTTTTCACAGTTTGTGTAAACACTTCATTTGCATTAAATTTACAGCATTAATGGGATGTGAAATTTAAAATCCTACTTGAAGCATAAATGATGTAAGAAGGCAGAATCACCTCCTCCCCTCCCCCAAAAAAGTGTCTCATTGCATCTGAAATCAGTGAAGCAATTGAAATGTATTTGGGTAGGGGTAATGTTTTGCCTGTGAGCTCAGCTACAATACGTCCTCCTCCTGGACTAAAATATAAAGGGGGGGGGGGGCATCTGGAGAAAACAAAACTGGTCCAAACAGATTACGTACTGACTCTAGCTGGCTTTTCCATGTCAGCGCCTGAAAGCCACACTGGCTAGGAAGTCCTCAGTATACAGGAAGACGGAACAATACTGTCTAGCTGGAACCCAGTGTCTGCGGGTGCTGTCGCTAGGTGCTATGAAGACGGGAGAGGCGGTGAGCCAGTTTCAGAAACGTCAGACAGGTGAGAAGCGAAGGATAAATGAGGAAAAAAATTTGGAAAACAAAATGATCAATTTTTGGTCTCAGAAGCCCTGTGAGCCCCATCCTGAATCCAGATCTGAGAGGCAACGCGGAGAAAAGCGCCGAAGCAAAGCGTGGCTACCCCATTCCACCTGGGTGAAACGTGCCCACCTGTTGCTGGTGCAGGAAGGATGGGTCTCTTGGGTTTAGTCCCACATATCGATTGGCTTGAGGTGTGCCTGAGGCTGTGTAGGCTGATTAAGGAAGAACAAAAACAAAGATAAAAATCGTGAACTGTCAGAACCAACACCCTGTCCATGTATAAGAAACCCAGAGAAGTGGGGGGGGGGGGGCACTACCAAGAAGGTGTTTCTCTTTCTCTTCTCTTTTGTCTGAGTGAATCGCAAACAACAGAAAAGAAATTGATTCAAAATCATTGATTCAAATCAACTATCCCGCCCCCACAAAGAAAAAAAAAATCTATGCGGTGATCCACAAGCTATGCTAGGTGTGGGCATCCTTACTGTGTGTCGCGGTGTGGTACTGTCTAGATGTCGAGGCTCGGCTACGCTGAAGTCTTTTATCGTAGACACCTTTGACCTGCTTCTAGGGGGACAATCAGTGATGGCTGCCTGGGATCCTAACAGTGACAGTAGATGAAGTGACAGCTGTTGATATCAGGGTTAAGCAGATGCGCTTGATGAGTATGAGATGAAAAAAATGTTTGACTTAAATGTGTAACCAAAAAAAAAAAAAAAAAAACCCTAAAAAATCCACCAATACTTTTCTAAAAGAGGAGCCCGGTTGGATTACATCACATGGAATGACTTAGTTCCATCTTTTATCTAATATGGGGAATGTCCTCCAGTTTGGTAGAAACATTTTTGACCAAACAAATAAACAAAGAGAGAAACAAAAACAACAAACAAAACAAAAACCTTCGTTTTCTGTTAGTGTAAAAGCAACTATCAATTGCTTGTGATTGGCCAGAGAGGAACTGATGGTACCTATGACATATTTGGTCACCAGGTAGAATAGATGCGGGTGTCTGCTCTTTAGAATTAGTTTTTGTACAAGTGCTTTTCTGGTGGGGTGAACTTCCCGCAGAAAGATTCTCGCTTTTAAATCTACCTTTTACAAGGAGCGAAAGAATCGAGCCTATGTCTCCATCTCCGGTTGAACAGAAAAGCTGAGTGTGTACCCTATGTTTCACTACGAGGTCTGAAAGGATGAAAACCAGGATAATTAATTAGGAATTCAGACACCAAGTTTAAATAGGCTAGCTTTTATAAACCAATGTATTAATTTTTCATGTTCACTTTTAAAATGCATCATTTGAACTTGGAGACTTTTAGGTCAAGTTTTTAAAACACTGAGGATGCTCACAGGACATCCTGCTAAACAAGGCAAGGATGCCATTAGCAGCCAGGATTCCCCACGCCTCACCAGGCCTTGAGAATTCAATACACAGGCTGGGAAGTGAGAGAGGAGCCTTACTCTCACAGTGTGAACACCCTGTCTGGGTTGTTTGTTTGTTTGTTTTCCAATCATTAAAGAGAGGCCTCCTTGGTCTCTGTTAACTTTACTGATGTATAAAATCAACATCTAGTTTCATATTATCAGTCGTTTTTCTCAGTATTTCTATGTAGAAGTGGGGAAAGGCCAATGAAGCCATCTTTATATAAGCTAGACATTCCTTTAGAATATTTTAGAAATCTTATTAGTCAAATCATGTCTCTTTTTGAACAACCTCAGCCCGAGTACACAAGCAGTTCATTATAAAAGAGACTGAAGGGACACCTGTGAGAGGGCTCTGGTTATCTGCACTGGATCGTCCCCTGAATTGGATATATGGATATCAGCTTAAAAATAGGCACCAGAAGTTTCTGGAACTTTGGTTTTGAGCATTTATCCTGAAGTTGTTTTTTGACTGCCTTTGAAGAACATATTTTATGTGCTTTTATTTAAACTGTGTCTTAGCTCCAAGGGGCTGTGACGCTCACTGGAAAAGCATGCATATAGCGTCTCAGTGACTGTACTATGCACAGAAACCATCCAGAAGAGGAGTCTCACCCATTTGTGCCCTTAGGAAAGGCTCGCTAGGGTAGGACTCTTTGCCAGTGAGCGGATTACCAAGCATCACTGAACAGTCATGTACATCCTAAGCCTCTCTGGACTTACTGCTTTGTCGGGCTCATGAGGTCTGATAAAATAAGTGCCGAACAGTCACTGTGCACCTAACGGATTGCCCATTTTTTTTTCTTGGATAGTTTCTTTATATGTTTATAGAAATTATTAAAAAAAAAAGAATCTTTCCAATGGTTGAGAGAGAAGAGAGAGAGTGAGAGCCAATGATGTCTCTGATGGTGTAATTCCACGAGGGAATTTCCAGAGCACAAAGGTTTTCTTTGCTCTCTGCAAGAAAAACAATGAGAATCTGAGAAACACATCATGGTGATGGAACACGCCGGTGCCTCCCGGATGAAACCTCATCAGTTGCCCATCTGTGCACATTAATGTCCTTTAAGAAGCTGGTAGTTTGGGTGAAGCCAACTGAAAATGAATTCCTCATCTAATCCTGAATGTTCTATATGCTAACTTGGAGGAACCATTTGACTTACGGATGTATGCTACAAAAGGATGCTACCATTTGCAATGCGGTGGCCATGCTAACACGCCCAGCATCTGATTGTCAGGTGCTAGCCAAAACAACCGAAAGATTTAAAGAAAAAGCTGTAGATAATGAATGTGTAGGGACCTTACACATACCTAACCCTATGCTTCACAGTGTCCTTGCCTGCTCAGCGCAATGTGTGACTGCTTCTCACAATGACATAACCTACAGTGAGGTAAACATGTAATTATCTTGCAGAGGCACTGATTCTATTCACTTGGGGGAGGGGTTTGATTTCTAGAAATGCTCCAATAAGTGATAATTATCTAATCTCTCTTCTGGTGATGGAAAACCTTTGTATACTGTGTTGTGTTATCAGTGTAACTTCAATGTCTACCTTGAACAAGCAGGCATGGGTGATCACTTTTGTTGTGGGCTGTTTGCTAAAAAAAAAAAAAAAAAAAAAAAAAAAGCATGCTTCTCCCTTGTCAAATATGATGCCCTAATGGAAATTTGATAAGAGAGAGCATGTGACAGCTAGGCCACGTCCATGCCTGCTAGCTCCACTTAAATGAGAAATCTCCATCTGCTCAGGTAGCCGGAAAAGTCCCCGTGTTCTCCACCTTGGATCATAGATCCAATGGTGCCTTCGATGGACATTTCTCATTTCCTACGGAAATACTTACTGGTTGCTGTAGGTGAAGCTGCCTCACCTTCAGTGGATGTAGTGATGGGTTTAGTATCTGTCATGGTCAGGGTCACAGGCCGCACTGCACTGGGATGGGGAGAGGGTGCCAAGACAGGAGGGAAATGGCCAGGCACTTTCCCTACTACTTGACCACTGCTGTTAGGCTACAAAACAAAAACAGAATGCCGGGTGAAGCGATCCAAAAGGCAGTCGTCCTGTCCAACAGCTCCACGCGGTGCACGAACGTGGATTCTGCACAGGGTGAAGAGTCGCCATGCAGGCCCTCTCAAGTCTGAACTGGAGGCCAATCAATGGTTAGTAGTAAGAAGCAGCAGCAAAGGTACTTAAAGGAAGGCTTGGACCATTAGTGCACTTTGGACAGGGGATTTCCTCTTTACAATACCCCTAAAAGTTCAGCCGGCCTGACCCTCTCACTAGTAGGCCAGAAAACCCACACTGAGTGAGACTGATGCCTAGCTCAAACTACAATAGCATTCCTTCCTGAATTCTCTACAATAAGAACCCAGCAATCCTATGCTCTGCAGCTCATGCTCAGTTTATCTCTCAGTACAATATTTTCCTTCTAAACAACGGTGTCACTGATAGAGCAATACAAAAAGTCAAGGATGGGAAACATACTCAACTCCTTATGGTTTCCTTCGTTTACAGTCAATAGTCCATTCTTCTGCATATAAAACTCTAGCTTTTGCTCATACACAGGTATTGCAGACACACATACCAGGCAATTTAGACTCTAGGATAGCCAGTTCACTTTCAAGAATTTTCTACCACAAGCAGATAGAATGAGTTGTAAAGCATCTAAGATTTCCGGTACACACAGATTTATAAACTGCAGAAGTCAGACATTATGCTTAGGAATAAAACATCCCCACAGGAAGGGACAAGGATGAACCAAAGAGGACGCAAGGACCATCCAATGCATGCTGCTGTTTGCTATGTTTCAATCACTGTGCACAAAGAGTTGCATGGATGTTTGTGAGATTTAATGAAGAAAACTCCCTGTCCAGTTTCAGGAAAGATATTATTACTTGAGTTTTGACCACTCGATAGAAAAAGAGTTACTGTGGTAGGAGCAAACCCCTAAAAGGTGCATTGTCTGGAGAAAGCCTGGAATACATTATCCCAGGTAGAGAAGTCTATTTTTGGTTATACTCATAGAACTATTACTCACTGCATGATCGTTCTAAGAATTTTCTGGAAAGTATTCTCCACAAATATATGGTCTTTATAATCCCAGCTTCCCAAAGCAAAGAGATCAGTGAAACAATATGTATCTAAATCCAAATATATAGATTATAACTGGATATTTCTTTAGGGAAAGATAGCTAACAGTACTTAAATATTTTGACTCAGAGGCATGAACTGAGTCTTTGGGTAGGTAACAGAGGGACTAGTTCCTCTATTCTTTTTTTTTTTTAAATTGACTTTGAACATCCTGACTATTCACCATGAATAACTTTAATTATTTAACTATATATAAGGAAAATAAACTGGACTTTTCCCTGATGAAAACCTATTGGAAAATTGTATCTTTAAGCCAATTTGTTTCAAAATATTCCACTGAATAGCATGACTGTCTCCCTATAACTGGAGCAGTAGTAATGGGAGCAATCTCCAAACTGCTGTGGGGAGGAGAAGGCATCGTAGTTGCTTAAGATTCCAGATTAGCATGATGCTGGGTGAAGCCCGGAAGCAGTAGTCAGTCCCCCCATCTTTAGCTCTGGAAGGCACAGAGCAACTGATCTACCCTGAAATGCAAATGAACGGGCTTTGAGTTTGTAATTAAACATCAAAGCAGATACAACAGTTCCTAGAAAAAAAAAACATTTCTGCCATTCATTATAAAGACACATTTTTCTTTCTAGGTCAGTGGTAGTTTGTTCCTTAAAATAGACATTATCAGCTTCTGGCTATGGGAACATTATAAATGACTGCTTTGTGTATGTCCTTGGAAGAAGGAAGTTCTCATTTTCGCACTGATGGTACAGTCAATGGCAAAAGTGCTTCTGCATAATGTTCACCAAAACAGTTCATATCTACCTGGCGCAGGAGTCAGATGGCAGGAATCTCAAGTAAACACTGGCACAGAAGATAAGCTTTGCCGTGTACAGTCCGCCCACAGGAACTGAATGGCCATGAACGGACAGTATTCTCTCATTCAAAAGGAGGAGAGGGGACAAAAGAGAGCACCCAATTCCATGCAGACGTTTCTAAAACCTGGGCCAAATAAAGGTTTCACTTCAAGTTTTCCACCAGTTAAATGAGTGCAGCTAGGTTCTCAAGTCTCTACCTTTCCAGCTGCTGTGGGATAGAGAAAAGAAAGGGTATCTTGTCTGAGGATGAACCGCACTGGCGATAGGCTACCTTGTTTACTATGCTCTTCCCAGTACATACAATTCTGAAATTTTCTTTTTGTTTTTGGCTTTCAACTGAGATGGGAGAAGGATGCTCCTTTAGAAGCTGGACATTTACTTTGAAAACATACAGGATAAACTGTGACCAAAAGCGGCAGATTATCACCTAATATGCACTTTTAACTTATAAAGAAATCGAAATATATGTAAAACAAGCACTGAATAATTAAAGAAATGCATAACACTAAGGCCTGATTTTAATTTGCATAATTTTCCCCTTAACAGTGCCTAATTAAGACATCAGTTTAAAAAAAAATCCAATGGAACTCTAAGATTTTCCACACTGAATTAACGTTAAGGACTTTTAATGGATGTCTTAATTAGACTTTGTTATTCATGGAAATTCTACACAAATTAAAATCAGACCTTGTGTGCACGGTTCCCAGATGAGTCTAGCAAAATACTCTATGGAACAGAGAGTTTTGAATTGATACTCAGAGAGCAAATTTCATTTCTGAACGGGTACCCTAAGACCGTGCTCCTGTCTCAATTGTCTTTAGACTCATTGTCCTCACACCACATGGACATTGTTTTTCTATAGCACAAACAGATGTTTAACTCTCAATTGTTAATATTTAGTTTCGTATATTAGTTAGTGAAACTAAAAGCAAAGGTAACTTTCTAAGCCACACAAGAGGTACAGTATATTATGTTGAAAACCAAACATCCAGAAGGGACCATCGTTCTTCATTTAACAAAGTAACACAAAAGTGCTCAAAAAAAAAAAACTTTACAATTGATATGCATATACTTATGTACTCTGATTTTAGCACAACTTAACAGCGGTTTCATAAAACATCGTATAAATCCCCCAAAGTCTTAAAAGTTGTTAGAAGTGGACAGGGGTTTTTGAGATAAAACAGCAAAGCCTGATACTAGGACCTTAAGATCAAAATTACCTTAGAGACCTGATTGCTGTAACTACTGATAAACTCATTACTGGCACAAAGACTGTTTAGCTGGCTGTACAAAATTCTCCTGTGAGAAACCCCTGTGTAGTGACCACTCACCAGGAGAAACCATGATCCAGAGTGAGGATGCGCAAGATTTGCTGCACTTATACAACGAATCCCTGAAGGGATGCTGAGAGACAGAGATAGATGACAGCTAAGAGATGATAGATAGATAGATAGATAGATAGATAGATAGATAGATAGATAGATAGATAGACAGACAGACAGATAGACAGACAGACAGACAAATAGACAGATGATAGATTAAAAACAGAGAGATAGAGACAGAACGAGCTGGAAATGCCATTCATTATTAAATGTAAGTCATGTCTCTGCAAAGAGTCAGGAGTCATCAAAGGCGGCTGAAAATGTTTACATTACCAAAGCTGATTTTAATGCCGAGTAACTGGCCTATAAATACAGCTGTAAGTTCTTTTGTGGGTGTTTATTTTAGCACATACCTTGCTCCTGCCTGCAATAAGCACTTTGTCTCTATGTCAAACCAGGTATTTCAGAGGTGTGAACTCCAGCTTAGCGTGTTTTTGGCATTGAACATTCTGCATAAACTTTCTTTCAATCCAAAAACATAAAACCCAAAACATCTTTGCAGATTTATCCCTCTGGGGCAACGCACTTCCTACCTGTCATTCAGCCACCTTTAAATAAGAAAAACGTATTGAGTCACCAAGAGACTTTCTGAAGACAGACTGCAAGGCTCGATGTTCCAGGCATACTCTCTGACTAACCCTGGTGCCTGAGAACGAGGCCCATCCCACTCCCCTCGAGCACTATGTTTATTTTGTTTCCTCTTATTTTTACCTGGCTGGTTTGAGGACTGGATGGGTCATAAGAAGGGACATAGTTCTTCAGAGTATCCTGAGGATTCAGGTGGGGAGGATATCTGATGGTGGGATGAGAAAAGTAGCTTGACGGGGCTGGAGGAAGGATAGCTTGCGTCGGAAATGGCAGCGGCGAGGGTGGAGGTGGAGTTCGAGTTGAGATGACTGCAGAACACACAAGAGAAAAACACAGAGGTCGCTGGTCAGCAGACTGCCTTCCGGCTTCATTCCCTTCCAGCGCTAGAAAACACATCCGTTCACTCCCTTGCTCCCACAATTAAACCACGTTTCAGTGTGCTTTCCCAATGCTAGTACCACGAAGGACATATAGGCACAAAGCCACCCTACCTAACCAACACATCTTTCTTTCCAGACCCAAGAACAATTAAAAGAAAAAAAATTCTCCTGTATGGAGACAAACTAGACAAAGTATTTCTTTCAGCAAATTCCTTTCCATTCAAGATATAGTCTTTGATTACAAGTGTTTGTCTCCCTAAATTCAGACAAAGCTATCGCATTAATTAAAGACACACCAATTTTTCTACTATAACTCATAATAGAAATGCAATTCAATTTCAAATAAATCATCTCCTTATACAACCTAGCTGACAGTTGTTTAAAATGAAAGCTAACAATTAACAGACCAGAATGTCAGGTCATGAATAATGGTCTGCTCACTGTATAAATACTCTGGCGTATTAGCACATGGGCTGGACTCCTCCTCCTAATGAAGATGGTTCCCTTCCAACCCAAAAGATCTTCATCCTATAGCTATTTTTAATCTGATTCCAGCTGTTACTATATTGAAGTTCAAAGGTATTGTTGAGGTACAATCTACAAAAACCCACAAAACTCTGAAATTGTTATATAGGGAAACATATGAATTTGCCCATGTATTTTACAATCATATGTTCTACTGTCAGAAGGAAATACTATATGTGCTGTAGATCCTAGACAGTGGTGATTCCCACAATAGTATGATCATAATGTTTAGTTCTGAAAAATAAAACTTAAAGATGGAGAAAAATATTTTAGCCATTATCTCTATAAAGCTCCTGGAAATAATTATATAATTACTAATTATGACAACAAATTTATAAAAGTAAAGCCTAAATCTCCATTGCTTTGAAATTTTGATCCAAGTCATAAGAAAATAAAAACAGTGTTCCATGGTTTAGGAAACAATGTGTGAGCTAAGTTCTCTTCGTGACTACAAGTGAAGATTGTCTAGAATGATAATCTTCAACTTTATAATGATGACAAAAAGAAAGAGGGAGAAGGAGAGAGTTTTAAAAACACATTGCTATTTTCCTCAAAGAAAACACCCAGGATATGAAAATTTAGGAGTGCATACAGCAGAACCACAAATTTAGATCAACAAGACTAGGAGACTGGTTTTTGAAACCTGCAGAGGCGTGGCAACAGAATCCATGGTTTAAACCTTCTCCCTTCTCCACACGTTGTGAGGAACAACTGTACATTTCTTACAACAGAAGTCCTGCACGAATTTCTTTAAGATGTACATTCACTTGAAGCATAACTTAAAGAAATACAGATGTTTACTGAAAATCAGGCATTTTTTTTAACTTAGTGTCAAAGGTTTGTTTTTGTGTTTTGTTTTGTTTAGTTTTGTTTTTGACCCTAAGGCCGGGACATCAACAACACTAGGCAAGTGCTTTCCACCAATGCACTACACCCAGAGTCATAAGTGATTGAATGATCTTAATCTGCTCATTTAACTATGGATTTTGTTCCCACATGCACATAAACCCCTGTGAGATACACAGGTGCTCCATCTTGACCACTGGGCTTAAGAACTCATTGGTCTCAGCAGGCTAGAAAAAAATCTTTTTTTTAACAGAACTGGAACAATTCAAGTTTGAATTCAAATCTATGGGTAGCTCAGGAACTGGAGTGGGATTGAAATAAGCAGATTAGATTTTTTATTTCAAAATGAAAAGTAAAAATGGCTACCTTGTAGACAAAAGTCATTTTAATCCCTTGAAAAGGACAGAAAAGCAAATTACAGAACAGAAATGTTTTTCTTCATTTTGAGAGAAAACATAGATTTGCATATTTTTGCTTGCATTATTGAAACTTCTTCCTAATTGTCTTTCTCCCTCTAGTCTGGCTCCTTCCAGCACTACCTTTATCGTTTTGTAGCAAAGACTTGTTAAAAAATACCCTTGCAATTCTGTGTCTTTCCTGCTGAAATACCTGCAATTGATTTCACATTGTCTCTATAATAGCGTCCCAGCAATTTCACAGATTTGTGTGGGTTCTCCCGTGTGTCAGGCCCCTTTCCTGGATCACTGGCCTTACTAGAATCTGTGGGTCCTAGGCCACGTGGCATTGCCTTGCCACAGTGACCATACTATATTGGGACCTATTGTTGCCTCTTCCTGGAACATGCATCTTGCTGGCTTGTTGTTCCTTCTTGTGGATAGCCCACTCTTTAAATTTAGCAAAACATATCTCTTTCAGGCATCGACATCTCCACCAAAAACCTGGTCCTGTTGAGATTATATACTTGGGCAGGGATTGGTCCACTAACCCCTACTATGTCATAAGTGCTTTAAGAGCAAAACCTTTGCCTTGACCAAGGTTCTTACCAAGGTGGGTACCTATTAAATATACTAATTGTATATGTGACTGGTATTTTGGGTATTTAAGTATTTGACAGAAAACCAAAATGTAAAGTTTATATAGCGGCTTCATGTTTCATTATCTAAATGATATATAAAAATACCATGTAATTATTTAAACCATTATAAGCATAAATTGTTAATCAGGTGTCATATGCAGAAGCCATGACCTAGAAATTAATCGTGGCCAAATATGCAACTTCTATGAAGTGGTTACTGATTTTTTTCCACTTGGCTCAGGAGATCAAACAATTTATATGAAAATTCTTCTACCACTATAATTTTATATTCCTCTTAGTTTCATAATTTCACTAATTATAACTAAGATTATGCATTTTTAAAGAAAGCAACAATAAGCCTCATGTTACAACTTATGAGTGAAGGTTTAAAAACTAGATACAGCAGGATAAAAGTCATCTAACTACAAATGAGAAGCAAAAAGAATATTATAAATATAGTAATATGTAAAACTATCAAGCCACTAGCCTCTAGGAGACTTAGAAGTAACAGATACCCAGCATATAGTACTGAGTACTAATTTATAGTTTTTCAACTTTAAAAGTTATACTATTTAGTTATACTAAAATATCAATATGAAATATTGAATAATCTTTCTTAACAAAACTATCAGATAAATCATGTGCCCCAGACAGAAATATTTGTGCATATAGAACATCTGGCATGTATAATCTTATTAATTTTACTTGTAAGTAAGTAAGTACTTATTTATGGGCAAAGTCTATATTCTCGGTTCCTATGAAAAGAACCCCTAAACTCATCAATATACTTAGAACTCCATCTTTCTCTAGCAGAATATACATAACTTGGGCCAATCTCAGGCTAAAGTTAGCGTAAATATATACCCCATTTTTAAAAGTTCTTGTGATTAAAACTTTAAATTTCCAAATTAAAATATTTATTAAATTATACAATATTAAATATCTTCTCATAAACTGATAAGAAAAAAAAACATTTTGTCCATTAGTAACCCTCCCTTTGGGTCATCCCATGTTTATACAGAGGATATAGTCACCCTAGCAACGGTGATAAACTTCCCCTCCACCCTTAAGTGTTTGCTGTGTGGACAAGAGGAACTTGAAACTCCTCACCACTGTGCGCGACTCCAGGTATTCCGGGATGGTGGTGCTGGGGGAAAGTGCTCAACCTTGGGGAAGAATCCTGTGGAGATGTAGAGCTAAACAGTGGCTTCTCGGGCTTCTTCATTGTCGTTGGAGAAGACATATCTGCAAAGGAAAAGGGACACATTCAAGCAGCCGGGCCTTCTTAAGCAATGAGGCTCGTGTCAACATAACAGATCTCATTTCCCAATGCTCTAGGATTCTTTTCCTCTCACCCATTTAGAAAAATCTATACACAAGGTCAAAGATCCAGCCGTGCTCGAGCTGTAAGATATCTTTCAGAAGCATTCCCTAACCTGTTCATTCTATAAACAATTATCAGATTCCTCTATTTCCTATATAAATATGGATATTAAGTAACATAGAAAGCAATTCCTGACTTAGGGACATTCACTGTTAGCCAAGAGGAAAATGCCATGGAAAGAGTTGTCACAAGTTGGGAGGATGTGTGTGGAGTGAGAGCGGAGACACTGTGGCATTTGCTGCTATAGGCCCGGCCTCTGTGTTCAGAGTATTGCTCTCCTGACCATGCTGAGGAAGCAGCCCCCATCTAGTGCCATGTTCAAAAGGTGCATGGGGATAAAAGAGCTATAAGAAAGCATTTAAAAGTGGTGGGACAGGGTAAAATACTAAACTAGTTCAAGCGATGTGTGAAGAAAGGAGACGCGCAGCTGGGAGAACACACATGAGCAAGGTCTAGATCTGAGGTACCTGTGTCAGAATGTTATAGAGGGGCACATACGGCCATAGACAGTTTAGACAGAGCATACCCTCCAGAAATTAAACAGAGGAGGAATATCTACAAGGGACTCACTATGGAGACCCACTTAAAAAGACTCACAATTCATAATTAATACTCATTGCACAAGTTTTAGAGAACTCATTGATCCCAGAAATGACATCAGTTTCTGGATTTACCCTCTGCTTCTATAAAGTGAAACACCTAGTGAAGGAATATAAAGAAGAAGAAAGGATATTGTGGATATTACTTTTGTATTTCTAGGTGTCTTACTTCATTCACAATACCTGCTGATAAATGAACATGAGAAGAGGCATTGAAAGTATCCGAGATAGACTGCACTGAAAAGCGTTTAGGGGAATTAAGGAATGGAAAATAAGAAATTGGGATGAACATGACAGAATGTTAGAAGAGGGAAGCTGAAAGGAATAAATAACAGTAATTTTCAAAACAACAACAACAAAAAATACTGTACGCCAACTCGTAAAAGAAGTATCCATGGCCGGGCGGTGGTGGCGCACGCCTTTAATCCCAGCACTCAGGAGGCAGAGGCAGGCGGATCTCTGTGAGTTTGAGGCCAGCCTGGTCTACAAGAGCTAATTCCAAGACAGTAACCAAAAGCTACGGAGAAACCCTGTCTCGAAAAATCAAAAAAAAAAAAAAAAAAAAGAAGTATCCATGGCTTTACCCATCCATGCCATACTTAACACTGCCAAAATACAGATGGCGGCGAGAGGCCGAGGTAAAGTGGGCAGACCAATGCAACAGGTAAGTGAACCAATTAGTGCAGGAGAATTAATGGCTGTTGTGAAAGTCATTATCTCGGGTCACACAATGCGTCTGAACAGACTACCCAGCAGGCACCTGGGATTGGTGAGGAGGATGATGCAGGATTTAACATCTTAGGTAATGCTCATTTTTATGAAGGCTTATAAATTTATATTAAAATCTCTAACAATAACATAGCCTATGAAATTTGTATTTTATCATTAACAATTTTAAATGTGTGCACAGTAGACAAATAATAATAGATTTCTTCTACCCAACAGCCAACTTCAGCCATTATCCACTGAGAATCTCCCGCATACTTCCATGCCCTGCGTTACTTTGGAAGCGAATTTATTGCCATACAATTTCATCTCCAATTTTTCTGTATACATATTTAGAAGGACTCTACCATTTAAAATAAAACCACTAAAACTTTAGCATGCCATTAAAAAAATAAGACCTGCATTTTTTATTTTCAATGTTCTGAAATTTAAAAAAGGCCTCCCGGTATTATTAATGTGAGAGACTAGTGGCCAGGTATTTTTTACCATTTGAAAAATTACCCGAGTTCTGGTAAAGGCATCTAATAAAATTGAGTATTTGTTTTGAGCATACTGGCACTTAAGGAATAGACGTGCTACTGTAGGCAGTAGACAGCAGAAGGAGAAGCCACATTTCTGACAAATGGGTAGCTACTGATCTATTAGAATTCAGTTTTTTTATATAGTTTTCAAAAAGAGAAAAAGAAAAAAAAATTTCATGAAGCCACAACAATTAAAGCTACCACAAAGGAATGAGGTGTAGAATTTAAATGCAGGGTTTAAAAAAATAGGAAAAGGAAAGTCGTTTCAACTTAAGTTAATCTTCAAAATATCAAAGACAATGCCAGGCTTCACCCAAGAACTATCTCGCATTAAAACGAATGATTCTGTATTGGGTTTTCCCTACTGGAAGCTGAACTTAGACATACAAATTGTTAGAAGAGAAGGCGCCTCCACATCACTCCTTAAGATAGTGTTTTCATTTCAATGTGTTTTAAACGACGTAAAAAGATTGCCTTTGTAAGGTGCATGAGCGTTTTGCCTGTATGTATGAATGTCCCACATGGATTCCAGGGGACTGTGCAGGTCAGGAGAGGCACCAGATCCCAAAACTGGAGTTATGGATGGTAGCAAGCACCATGGGAGTACTGGGAACCAAATCTGGGGAGCAGAGTTTGCCTAACAGCTGAATCATTGCTGCTGTCCCCATTTCAAATTTGCAATGACTGGTGATTTTAAAAAGACAGTGACTTATTATTGACTCTTACATTTACTCCTGTCTCCATGCAAAGTGAAAAACAACCAAACAAACAACCTGAGGCATGTAAATCAGTCTTCCAGACCTTCTGAGAATGGGCGGTGAAGGGCCACACACACACGGCATGGGAAAGAGTGGTTCCCAGTGCACTCAGAAGTAGAGAAGAGTTATTCTGTCTGAAGCACTTCCAAAAACAAGAGCCCTAAAACTACCACAACCATCAGAATGCTCACAAAACACAGCCAAACTCACAGGAGTCTCTTTTCAGAAAGGAAGAAGTCAAATGTCATTTGTATAAAAGTTTAAGCTAATGAATGATTTTTATCATTTTTGACATATGTAATTTAAAATTTTTTCTTAATCAAAATAATACCCTTCGCTTTTGGGAGTAGTTGCCAGATGTCTACTTGGGGGTGTGGAGGTGCTCTTTCAGACATCTGTCTAATAATAGCAGTATTAGAATGTAGCTTTATTTCTTTCTCTTCCCATTAAGTGAAATGAATTCTGGGCCCATTAATCAATAGGGAAACACTGCTATGTGTATGGAAAGGGCACTGTGCTAAGCACTCAGAGACACACAAGTGAATTCCTCTCAGAGGAAAGCCCAGTTCTACGGACTGAGGGGAAACAGAAAGGCAATTATGTGGAGATCTCGGGGCTGAGTTTCTAGACATTGCATTTTAACCACGAATCAAACTTGTATTTTTGATTTTAATTTTATTTTAAAGTCTGTAGTTTAATAGACTTCCAACATAAGAATGACATCATTTCTATTTTTAATGCACTTATGTACTATACAGAAAGTGGTTCGGGACTGAAAATATGAAAGAAAAGGCTTTTGGTGGCCCACGTGTCAAGAAAAACAGATGCTGTGCTTTGTGCAACCCACTGCTCCTCAAAAAGGAAGAATAATACATAAAAAGATTAAATTGAAAATTAGTTGAACAAAGCTGGGCAATTTATAAATATATAATAAGTTGAATGATAATACATACATAATAAAGGGTAAGTTGAATAATACATAAGATAAGGCCACTGAAGAGAAAGAAAGCAGTAAGACAAGAAGTAGTTGGTACTTCTTCTAAAAGAGGGCGGGAACACCTCACAACTGGTAAGAAAGAGGGAAAAGCCAGGAAGTCCTTAGCATTAGTACAAGATGTAAGTTCTATTTATATAGAAGTCATTTATAATTGAAATTACTTCACATTGGAAACTGTCCCAAAATTTGACAGTTTATATATTTTTTTTCATTTATTTAATTGGTTTGTATAGAGATGGTCTTATTATATAGTCCAGAAGGGTCTTAAACTCAGAATCCTTCTGGCTCAGCCTCCCAAGAGCTGTGATTCCACACGTGCACAGTATGTTTGCCACCAGACATTTGCACGTGTCCCTACCTGAATCAAGAATTTTAACAGTGTACTTGAGGGGTCAAAGGAATGTGTTTCCATCCTTCTGCCTCCTTGAGTGACGTTTTCTCCCTTATTCAATTAGGTTTCCCTGTTCTCTTCTTCTACTTACACCACGCTTTGCCTGGCTGAACATACTTAGGCAGACCATGATTCCACCTGGGAAACTTTGGCGATCTATGGCCAGCAACATGGCTCAGCAGGCACAGGCACCTGGATCAAGCTTGGTGATCTGAGCCTGATCCTCAGAAATCACATGGTTGGTGAGAATTGGCCCCTGAGGTTTTCCTCTGCCCACCACATCACATGAAGGCAAAGGTTTGCACACATACACACAAGCATGTGTATATACCCACAACACAATAAAAAAGTGAATAAATGTAAGAAATATTGAGGGTCTATATGTCATTAGCAATCTTATGCTAAAACCTTATATTACTTGATGACTTAATCATTTTTCATCTATTCACACATATATGTATATATATATGAGATGTAGAGGATGGAAATAACTTAGAAATGAAATAAATATACAAAAAATATAGGCTTCAAAGAAAGCCAGAAAGGATAAAGCAGGTCCATGCCTAGGTCGTGTATTTTCAAACCTCTTCCATGCGAAATGAGCTGTGTGAGGTGAGGTGTTCACTGGTATCACAGTGAGCACAATTAACCCACGATGGCCGGTCTCAAATGCACGTTCCATCAGCCGCAAAAAGAATATATTATTGTGTGAGAAAAAGAATCTATTTTCAATAAAAGGAAAAATAAGCCTCATAATGGAAAATGATGCAGCAGCAACAACAAAAGGGTAGTTGAATGGAAACCAAAGAGAGACAGCAAAGCCAACCACCGAGCACCCAATAAGTAGGAGGGGATTTGGCTGCACACCA